TAGTATACATGTATACTAATTTTGTAGTGAAGTATCGTCATGGGAGTAGTTGACTATTATAATGTAGGACAAAAACAAGAGTTACCGACAGATTTTGGGACAAAAAATGACTGAAAACTCATGGTTATGGATAAACATATTTACCGTCGTAATTAGGGACAAAAAATGACTGAAAAGTCATAATTAGGAATAGAAAAAGTTACCGTCAGAATTAGGGACAAAAAAATAGCTAGGCATCCGAATTAGGAACAAAAAATTAGCTGGACCGTCAGAATTCGGGGCAAGTTTTTTTCATTACCCTTGGGTGTCTTCATTCTAAGATCTGTATCTTGGTAAAAGAAAACACACTTGTCTTGAACCTTTAGACTATGATAGAGCTTGATTCGCTCTACAAAAATGTCTCAGGCACCTCCCCTCCCTTTCTCATGAAAAAATTGAGAAAAATAGTTTTTTTCCGAAAATTGAATTTTTCTATGTAATTTGATAGAGGCGTCAGAATTAGGGAAATTTTTTTGCTGCCCGTCAGGATTAGGGAACTACTACCTAATTCTGTCAGGTGCAGCTATTTTTCGCAGACCGATAATTTCACTATGAAATCAAGAAAAATGAAAGACCAACAATATATCGTTTGAAAGAGGCGAATCCAAAGATTACGGAAATATAAAAATATTTTTGATCGGACGTAAAATAGTTGCACACTAGTTGAAACAAAAAATGGTAAAATTTTTCCGACAGAATTAGGGAAATGTACTGTATCTATGCATACTCAACAGCCACTGATTCGAGTAGATATTGGAAGGCAAGATGCATCAGACCTGGGTTCGGCTGTACCGCCATTGCCTCCGATAAGATCTTCCGATCGACTACCACGCGATGGTCATCCTCTCTATCGACCAGCAGCAATAACACCATTCGGTCGACCACCACGCGATGATCATCCTCCCTCTCCACCACCAGCAATAACACCATCTGGTTGCTCACCACGCAATGGCCGTCCTCCCTCGCCCGAATAGCTAGAAATTCGGTGAGCGACGCGGAAATCAAACTGAATTATTTTTTGAACATATGGTACCATTGTATTTTCTGCTTCATTAATTTTCATTCGTATGGTTGTATTAGAAAATGATGTACTCTCGGCATTCAACATTTTTTCTTCTGTTTTTTTCTTTTGAATGTGTTCACTGATATTGGTTCTTATGACTAAGAACAACTAGAGCATGTTTGTTTTTCATGTAGGCTGAATTTGTGTCCAGAATGTATTCCATATACGTATATCTGACTATTTTATGGAACATGATTGGGATGTGCATGGAACTAGATAACGAAAATGGTGTGGGTGTGGGTGTGTGGTGTGGATGTGGGTGTGGATGTGGGTGTGGGTGTAGGTGTGGGTGTCGGTGTGTGGGTGTGAAGGAG